ATAATTAAAAAAGAATTATTCAATCTTATGCTAACCAATATCCATTTTCTTTTTAATAAAGAGGGAGAAAATTTCTCCAAGTGTTGTTAATTTCTGGAGTGAGATCGAGAAAAAACGTTTAAAAGACAATATCGAAAAAGAATCGGTCTGTAAATTGTGTTTTGTAATTGTTTATTATTGTGCTGTACATAGAGGAACTAATTGATGTAAATAGTCAGGATACATCAATGACGTTATAGATGATTCGGCCAAAGATTCCAAAATTGCAAGGAAATTTTTATCCAACGAGCTAAAATCATTTGCAACAAGTTCTTTGAAGCGAGATTGTGTAAGTATTAAGAAAATTCTGTATTATATTATGTTTTTGCATAGTAATTTTACTTTCCTCTAACATTTAGTCACACGTGGAAACTTCTCAAGATCATTCTAATTTTCACACACCAGATCACAGTAAGAAGGTCAGGATAAGGGTTAATTCTGTCTCATTGTTTCATACTGGTTCTATGCATTTAACCATTTGTTTTAATATGCTATAGACCAGAACAGATATAGATATATTCAATGTCTCATTCGATGAGTACACCAATGCTGTTAACGCCGTCAATTCTATTCAAAACAATAAAGAATCTGCCCATACAAAGTAAGATATGTTCTGCCTATTAATCTATCTTTTCATTCTTGTGCGCTCATTTTCCCGTTGTAGCCCACTCTGGTGGGGTGTTCTAGACTTTCGTGAGGAGAACGTGTCTCCGAGTCCAAGCCTTCCCCGTGCAAAGAATTTTCTCTCGGCTAATGAAATTGATCGTTTGATGAATATGACACAAAATGCTATTCAAGAAGAGAATGAAAAGATAAGTAAATCAGCTAAATCACTTTTAGAAGCATTGTTATTATCGGAAATCGTTAGCCTCCAACTTCTCGCAAAGGAATGTGGTGCACGTGGAGTAGTCGGTATACGTGATCTTTTGCAAAGGTCTGCTGGTAAAATGCAGGTGATTAAAATTATATGCGTACTATCGCCCACAAATCTATAAATTCTATAACAAATCAATTTGTAATAGGATGTTAATGATAAAAAAATAATTCAAGATCATCTCGCAAACATAGATGCTAATGATGACACTACAATATATATCGGGAGATGTATTGAGGACATGTAAGTTTTCTTACACAAGATAATTTGGTCATGAATTTAAACATGGTATTACAATAGGTTCGTAAACTCTAATAATTATAATAGTTACGAATGGATCAGTCGTTTTCATGGACAATGTCAATATGAACGAACCGTCGACATGTTCCTTGTTGGGCCTTGTGCAAAAACCCCGCAAACTATATTCACATAGTAAGAAATATGGCTTATTCTTGATAATTTATCTGTATTATTAATATTAAGCATTATTTTTTTCTCCTTTATAGTGGTGAAAATCACTCAGATGCTGACCGCGGAGATAAAACGGATCGTTCCGGGACTAGTCGTGTTGGCAAATCATGCGATTTTTTATATTGGGTATGTCTCATTCTGTTATGAAAAGTTAAGCTAATCCTAGCATAGGGCTTTATATGTAGAGCTCGTCTCGGGAAGCTGGCAATGGTGAGAATAGCGGGCCAACCCACAAGGATAACCACGACAAGGCAAAAACAAACTTTGTTGATACAATCAAAGTTTCTAGAGCACAGCATATCGAACTTGAGCTTCAAATTATCGAACAGAGTGGGCAAAATCCTCTGCCGGAGAGTCTACAAAAAGCAATGACGTCGATACTAATACCATTTTTTCATATAGTTGGAATGAGAATTCGGTTCTATCTTCTTTTCCAAATCAGCGGAGATCTGTATGGAGTTTGGGATTGGGCCTCGGAGTACTTACCAACAAAAGATGCAGACGTGGGGGAGGTTGCTCTACTATGTAAAAGATTTTTGGTTTATGGAGTACTTTGATTTTTGATCAGTTTTGCTTTGAGTAATCAAGCTTTTACTAATAAAGTTTAATAGAATCTTGTAGAACGTGTAGGACGGATGTCAAACATTCTTGCTAAGAGGTCTAAAACCTTTAAAGACAAAATAACCAGTGAGTCTTCCAAACCAACTGTAGAGCTAAATAAATTCCGAACTCCCTTAAATAGCAGAGTAAGATTGCGACAAATATCTTGCGTATATGTAATCTAGTTATTTTGTACTGCGGGATGTAAAAAATTAATAAAGTACATCGGAATAATAAATTAGAGATCGCATATAGTTGTCCTTACGAAAAAAAAATAATGCACATAAAGCATTTAAAGTTTCGATGAGACCCAATTCTCGAAGATGCTCTGGGATAACTATATATGGACTGTTCAAATTTCTATATTATTCTGCTATGCTTACACAATTGATAAATAATTTTTTTTTATACATTTTACAATACTTCTTTTAAAAGCTCGGGTATCTTAACTTTCTGTGAAATGACAGTAAATTTAACGGATAAATTGATTTTTTTACTTCGCTCTATAACATATTCTTTAAATCCTGTGAATCGCACACCTTTTTTTTTGTAATCTGATTGGCCGATTTGCTAAACCTTGAGATATCAATATGATTGTTTGACAATCACGTGTGAATTTGAATGATCGCTCCTGTTTATTAAACCACCTAGGAAGCCTATATGCGTTTGTGGTGCGATTGTCGTAAATAACCTGAGTGCTTAGTTTCTATTTGAGGTTAAATAAAGCGTTTTGATATGCGACCGGAAATAGATATAAATCTGATGAAAATAAGAGTTTTCGACACATTCTAAAAATGGTTTTTCGGCATGTTTTTTTTTTCGTGATGAAATGATTCGAGTAATACTTACACGTTTTCTCTACAAAATGTTTCTAATGAAAAGGAGTGATGGTGATATAAATAAAAATTTTTCGGTGTTTACTTATTTTTTTGAACCAAAAAAAAATGTCTCAAGAAATTCAATTTGTTCGTATCGAAGGAGAGACATCACAAGAGTTGGGGAAAAGATTTGAGGAGTTCTGTGCTATTATTACGCATGTCGGGTAAGTTTTCTTATTGAATAATATATCGAGTCATTATGTATCTGAAGTTACGCTATTACATCGATGTAAATTATCTGAGAATTGAAAGCACATCGTGACCACTGTTTCGGCAGTGAACGTTCTTCCCAGTTACCAATGATCTCGCTGAAGATTTTGGACCGGGGATTTAATGATAAATACTGTAGGAAGCATAGCGAACATTCATTGTAATTGGTTAGATTTTGTTGATCATCTCGTGATTTTATTTGCTAATCACCTAATCA